CAAACACAGTCATGTGTGTGTGTGTGTGTGTTTGTATACATGTCCATAGCCCAACTGCAACGGTGCCGCTGTAAGACGTTATTGACTGAAGCCTGACCTAGGTCAGGGCAAATGCCACAACGTCAAATTGATTTAAGCTCAAAATATTATATCATATATGAACTGCAGTAATAATAAATGTCAATGCCTGTTTGATCTTTCAACATTTTGACGGCGTAGCAATATCGATTAGATGGGCTTATAAATGTGAACTCATAATCTAATTGGAATTGTAAATTTCATTTAAAGCTTAGATAAATTCGATTAATTTTAAACTGAATTGATTATTATTCTAACCAAATGTCTACGGTGAATGTTTGAAAATGCCAGGACAATTCAATTATTGTGTTTGCAACAACAACAACAACAACACCAGCAACAAAAAGTAATGGAAATGTGAAAATCCAATGTTCTAACTAGATTCAGTGGGCGAAATTGAATGTTCGCCATTGTTTTATTAAATGGAACGCATGGTACGGCCTCGTTATTTTGCCAAGCATGCTTTGCAAATGGCAGCTCAAATGGATAAGTGTATAATCATTGTACTCTTACGTCCGATAATCCAAATGGCACTACTTGTTCGGACATTCAGAAAATGTTGAACGAATTTCTCGTCGGTGTGTTTTGGTGCGTATTCATCTATATAGATAGATAGAAAGAGAGAGAGACACACACACACACACACAACAGGGAGAGTTCGGACAACTTAATTAGTGCGTTACAAGTTTAGTGGCATTGATAATCATTATCTACTCGTAAACGTTTGCTGTTCCAACCACCGAAATAACAATTTTTGCATAGAGTGTACGGTACGCAGAACCGCCCCGCCGTACACATTTATATCGTATCGCTTCGTCTCCCAATGTAAATTGTTGATTGGAGCAAAGCGGAACACAACAAGCCAACACATTTTCGTTCAATGCAAACGAATCAAAACATTGTATCCAATCAAATGTCATCCAAATTTCACACATTACACGAGATTAATTTCGTAAACTGATGGATGTTCGACAAACATTGTTCGTGCCATCACATCCATCTCTGATCATATTTTTCTTTTGGATCAATGGCAACAGTTTTCCATCGGCAGGATTAACGGTCGAAGATGTGGCAAAGAAAGAAAGAAAACCAACGAATTGCCACTGCAATAATAACGATTACGATAAGAGAATCCATAAATTCAACAATTTATTTATTTACGTTATTTCTACTATATCCATCACCCCACCCCATATTCCATCACATACGTGCTGGTACGTGATTGAAGTCATAAAATGAGCAAATTCCATTGTAGTAAATAACACGAGGAACATTTTTGCGTGCAAATTTTAGTGCCACTACCATCAGTAAGAGACGTAATTCATTTTGCAAAGAGACTTGTATCACACATGCAACCACTGGATGGAAAAATATTACGTACGATATCAGGCAGCGAGAAGGGAAATAAAAACCAAAAATTATTCCAATAAATTAGAACGAATGGTAAATACGCCACACGGCGGAAAGGAAAAAAATCGATACGCTACCATTGCGTGACTAATTATTACTGTTATTGTTCTTACGTGTACAAATTCGTTGTGTGTATACATTTCAAGACTGACTCTCGTTCAAAACCGTACACCAAAATCGAATTCCACACGATAACAACAGTCAACAACACTGAAGAATAACAAGCGTTTGAACAGAAAAAAGAAACGAGTAATTCAAGCGAAAGCGAATGGGAAAAAATTTCAATCGAATGTGTGTGTGTGTGTGTTTTTTTTTCAGTCGTAGCTGTCGCTCAACATGTTACATTCTGGTCTCGAGGCACATTCCATGTAAATGCGAAAACACGAGGAAAATAACGGTGCAAACAGAACACCATGACAAGAAGACCAATCATATTTTACCTTCCTGGGTTCGTCTTTCATACCCTTTCATAATGCCATGTTGTCATTGCGATTTTCATTCTCATATGTCAATCTCCTATCTGGTATATTTGCCACCATATGTTGTGCTCGATAAAAAAAATGAGAAGTAACGCATTATACAAAGTACAGCACAGCAACAGCGATACCAGAATGAAAACAAAAAGACCGAAAACAACACAACACCATGACAAAAAAATGTGCTGAAATGCGAATTCTGGCGTACAGCTGTCAAGAACAAAATGTCTAAAATTAAATACAAGAATGTTTGGCGCAATAATTACTTCAACATCATGGGGTCGAATTCGATGGTTTGAAGGGTGAATGCGGTTCAAAACGCGACCTCTGTACTTCATACATTAATTACATACTAAACGGAATGTCTCTCGGTTTTCACATTCACTCACGATAAATACCCGATTCTTTCATTCCAAAATGTCGCAGAGAATATCCGCCCTTGATTACACTAAAATAAGATTCATGGAAAGTCCCTTGAAAAATCGTCTACAATTACTTGCCGATCAATTGACAACAAAGTGTCTAAATACTATACCACTTCATAAAGCATTTAATTTCAAATTTTGTTTTGAATCGAAAATGCGTTTACAAGACACAATGTATCCATAGAGATGTGAATGTCGTTCTATGGTGGAGCCAAAACGATGAACACACAACGGTGTTTTGTTCTCACACATCATTATAATTAATATATCACCGGAATAAGTAAGAGCCAATTAAATTCAATTGGATTTACGCCAACCGTAGCCAATCTATTGATTTTATTTCCATTTCGAATTGAATCTCAGCTCAACATCTATATATAGATATTGAATGGGATCGATTTGATTCTCCTAAGAGAGATTTCGTTCGAGTCAATCGAATATTCAGTGTTGCTCACTTCCAAATAGATATATATGTATTGATGTAGGTATATAAATCGATTATGTATGGATGTGTATATAAACGGAGATTTCTATCTCAATGGTACGATGCATACGGGGAAATTCGAATCGATGGGTAGGTTTTTATGATTTCCTTTGATGCAATCGCATTTTATGTATATAGGGCTTCGTCTGTTGCATCCCAATGGCTTCGGTGTGTATCGTGCACAATATTAATACTGGCTGTAATCTTCAGGTATTATGCAATTAAATGTGTTAAGGTTTCGTAAGCATATTAAATTTGAAAATGTGCATTGAACAGGCACATACATACACACAGAGTGAGAGAGAAAGAGAGAACGAACCCAAGTGCCGTCTTCCATTAAATTAATACACATTACTCGAGCATTTATAGTGGTTTGAGTATTTTTTCTTTGTTCCGATCCTCTATCTTGATTTATGTACATGTCGAGATGATACGTTGTGGCTTGGATGCTTTCTTCGATTTTAAACACTTAAATTCAATTATCAATTGATTATACGCTCAAGAAGTGCATTAAGCATCTATCCTGGAAATGTTGTCGGTGTTGGTTTTTGAGGTTATACTCCAAATCTTTGCAGATCTTGAAACTACGATATTAATTTCGATTAATATGCAAGCATACATTGTACATGAAAGCAACACACTCAACACTTCTACTTAGTCGACAGATTTCCGTAGTAAATATTTGTGGCGAGGCTCAAGTGTACCTTTCCGAGTATTTTAGCTCAGCATTCCCGTTGCCGCATTGCAACGGGTATATGAAACCGAATAGAAAGCACTTCGACATGGAAATTTAATTTTCTAAGATGTTCTCTGATGACGAGATGTGGAGTAACAACAATAGAGTCATCTAATCGAGTTGCATATGTGTGAACGTCGGCACTAACGATGCTCTACAACAAAGGTGGCTTTGATGAATTTTGAATGCAGCGCGTGTGGTTTGCATATAATATTGCATTGTTTTACCATGAAGTTGGATGCTATTCAACGACGGCGCCCACATGGCATCAATTCCAATGAATAACAGCTTTGGTGGGCGTTCATTTAAATCGATTCAATGAACATACCTATTCCATGTAGGATGGACAGGGACACCAAAGACTTTGACTCATTAATTTCAATTCATTGAACTTTACGCCAAGTCCATAGAAATATAGATTTTAACCACAGCATAAATGCCAATGTAAATTTATTCGACTACTATTATCTGTAGAGATATTCATATTGAACGCACTCACTCGACGATAATTTCCATTGATTGCATACGCAAAATGGGCACTTCCAGCGTTAAACTAAAAAATATTCCCTGAATTTTCATTGACTATGATTCCAAAATTCGGTTTACGTGCATCATTGCGGGCGTATGAAAGTGGGAAACGTTTTATTTAAAAGAAAATCTATGATACACCGACTATCAATTCATAGTAGTGATTGATATTGATTTTATGCTATTTTCATTTTCCACAATTTCAATGGGACGTTTTTCATTTGGTTTTTGAACCATGTTCTTAGTTCAATAGCTACGAAGATAATTACCTACTATTTGTTGCCGAATGACATCAATTTATTCTCTTTCTTTTTGAAATATCCACAAGTTGTGAACACATGTTCCGATTTAAAAGAAACTTGTTTACAAATTAACACATCTTTTATTCACAAGGTGTTATTAAATTAAATAATTATTCAATAGCACTCACGCATTTCTTTAAAGCTTCAAACACCATTTCTTGTTTTTTTTTTCTTTTCAAATATTATGTCTTATTGCGTAACGCAACCAGCGCCATCAAATTCATTTAAAATTAACCCATAAATAATTCAACCAGTTGATTTTGTTGGGAATGTGAAAAATAATAGTGGATGACAATGTAATGTATGAAATCATTTCATTGAAATCAAGTAAACAAACTGGTCGTGTTTTATTTTCGTTTGATATCGAAAACTGAATATAGCCAACAGAATGCCAATCAAAATCCAACAAAAATATTGAACAAAATAAACATTATTTGCTTTTAAACAATAATTTTATTATCTATTCATTTTCCTCATTTTTGTTTTCAATCATCACAGACACACATACACAAAATGAATAAATAAAACTAATTTGAAAATTTTGTTTGTATGAAATTTCAGAGGCAGCCAATCATAAAATGGATAACGTTGTTCGTCGTCCGTTAGTAGCAAACAAACAGTGGTTTAAATGCGTGATTGAAAGCCATATGAATTGCAACATACACGTGACGAATTGAAATATGCCAATAACGAGAAAATGGCAGAGCAATAAAAATTCAATAGCGGGCTATGAATCAAACATGAAAACAAAATGGTAAAAGTCATTGAATCCAATTTGTGTGGAGTTAAAATAAAAGGAGAAAGAGAGAGAAAGCGAGCGACAAAGAGCGGGGCATACATCAAATCAGCAAATGAATAATTGATTTAGAACAAATTAAAAGTTGAAATTTCACAGAGAACTAGCGAAAAAGGGATATAGAGAGAGAGAGAGTGAGTGAAAGGATTGAAATCATGAACTGCTGCACAAAAAGTGTTTGTGCATTTTTAATCGGACGTGAGTCACACGATTCACCGATTAGTTGCCGAGAAATTATTGGCACAATCATAACGAAGCAATAAATGGCATCGTTTGCATTGCATGCATTAAACATATCAATCAGTGAGTGAAATTAGTGTGCATAATCAATATAAGTTTTACGTGCAACGGGTAAATCCAGTGTCTGCGGCTGGTTGTGTGTGTGTAGTATGTGAGAATTGTGTCGATGCAAGTGAGTATGTCATTTGTCGTGGCCATGCACGTCTTTAATATAACGAACCCATTCACACAAATCATAGACGAATGAATCAATAACGAATGAGCAAATATAACCGAGTATCGAGTGAACGGCAAAGTGTGTGTGCAAGTGAATAAAACTAGTGATTTTTCGATCAAATAGAATTTTTAATTGTACGAGCATGTGGATTACAGACGAGCCGTCGATAGAAGCGAAAACTTTTCCACTTTAAATCAATTATTGAACAACGAATACATCGAAACGAAAGCAACAACAGTATTTGAAAACGACCAGAACCGGTTCCATCACATTTCATCGACATGGATTTGTTCATTTCATTTGGCGTTATCGTTTTGTACAGTTTTGCCACACAACTCTCGTTGAGTACGGCCGATGGATATAAGCCTGGTAAGTATTGATTTCAATTTCAAGTCGGTGCATACCATCCACTGAAATTCAATTGAATATGATTTTCCGTCAGATATTGAGCTAAGAATTTTAATAATTTAATTTGATTTAATATCGAGCATAATGGTTGAAATATGTTGTCGAAATTGTGGAAATTTTCATATCGAAAGTTATTATCAATTTCAAATAGTTTTATCGATGGCGAACGAATTTCTCTCAAAGTTAGATGCGAATGCCAATTTAAATAATATGCCAAACTTGTCACAAGATCTCAAGTATTTAACGAATTCGGCAATATGTTCGACAAAGTATTTAATGAAAATCGCTTAATAATCTCACATCAATTCAAAAACCGAGCTCAAAGATGAAATTCAATATGCTGATTGCTTGAATTCGACGGCAAATATGTACGTTTCATATAATATCGCTTTATATAATATCGAATAACAAAGCCAACGACTTTTTTCTCCTTCAAGCAAACTTTTTTGATGCGACAATTTTCCAGCCAACAACTTCCAACCATTCATCGCCGATGATCCAATAAAATTCCAAACTGCTTCGACGGTTATTTTTTTCTCCATACATAATAAATATGATATAAAAGAGCACTAAAAAGACGATGTAGACAAGTGAACGCGAACTCGATGAGAACTTTATTACGCCGATGTCAATCAAAACAGCAGGAAAGAAAGAGAGAAAAAAAAACTTTCCATTTAATCGTTACAGAGCCATTGTTAGGCAACTTTTCTTTGGAAATAGTTTTCCCCATTTTCATCGGCTTTATATATGAGTTCGTCAAAGGAAAAGCATGCTATCGATTATGTATGCATTGGTTTGGCATTTTTCTGCCATTATCATAAATTATCGTAAATATTAGCTAAAAGTTTGCTCAACTGTTTTGTCAATATACGCGAAGAATTATGCGCTCAGTGGAGCTCAAGATGCATTTGCAATGAAATCCATAATTCCATTCGTCGAGCAAGAACGAGGGGAACTTGGAAGAAAACAAATTCACAATTCAACTGAATTGAAATCAATTGAGTTGAAGATTTATTGACTAAAAATGCTGCATAACACACTTCATTCCGTACCAATATTTCATTTCAAATTATTCAAATGTGTAAAAAAGCTGATTTTACCGTAAACTTAATGGGATTGTTTTCCGAAGCAGATTTGCTGCTTTCATGTTATTTTTCCGGCCGAAAATCGCATCGAATTAATATGATGTTAAGTACATAAAATTCGCATATGCGATTTAAATACTTATTATTTAAAATATGTTTCGTTTATTTGTGACACAACGAGCTCTTTTTTCAGCTGTTACATACACAGTACACCCTTAACACGCTCGCAATTGGCTTTGTTCGATGCATCCACTGGAATTGTTTCATTTAAATAATCGGAATTCCACCGACATGTTAATTAATACCTAGAACCCCAAAGAGAGGCAAAAGGCAAAAACAAAAAATTAAACATTTTTTTACTTCAACTTTTAATTTGGATAAAAATTGGGCAGTCAAGTGAAAAGCATTCAGTTGAATTCATGTGGGATTTTACAATATTGCCGATTGGCATTGAATCTGATGGATTGATATTAAATGAGTTGTTTGGAGCGAAAATGTTATACAGAAAATTTGAGAGGAAAAATGTCAAATGAAAAGAGATAGCTATGTATATAGTTCACTATAGTTTACTATACAGTTTACTATATAGCTATCCCTTTTCCGCTCATTCATCATCGACATTTTTCCGCTCAACTTTTCTGTATAACATTTTCGCTCCAAATCACTCAAATGAAAGAATGCATACTAATTATACGTGCATAATTTACACGAATGTTACAAAATTGAAAACCAATTCATTCGGATGACCCAGATTTTGAAGTGTGCTTTTATTAATGATTGACTAAGATAAAATGTAAAAAAAAAAACTGAAATAATTCCGGTGACAGTTGCAATGGGTTTTTACCTTTGTGTCAATGACATCAATTGAACTTTTCAGCATTGATTGGTGTTTTCCAATGAAGTATTTTTTTTAATTACAACTTGTGTCGCTGATATTTATTACACCCTGAAAAATTCCCATCAATAAGCCTTTTTTGCTATTTTAATTTGTAATATATGGTCAATGTAAAGCTTAACTTACGCAGAAATGTCTTATACGATTGTCAACAATGTTTGCAATAATCGTTGAAACGAAATCACAATTTTCCCATAAATAAATTTCAACTCGTTTGACAGCAACAAAACAAGCGACAGCGTATATGGTATTCTGGAGTTGGCAGTGTTCGCAAACCGATTATAGTCGAACGAATGCTTGGAAACTACCACATATAACTCATGCCAATATCATGGTGATAACATTTTTGTGGTGATCAAAACGCTTTTGTTTGCCCACACTTTTTTTGTTCCGTTTGGCCGTTGTTTGCCAATGTGTATTGCCATCAGACAATATTCCTCGTTTAAATTTCCTGTGTGGTTTTTATTTCGGGCCAATTGCTGCGGATGGGAAGAAAAGGCGATGCAACGAAAAAAAAAGCTATTTGAATGTTGTTTGTTTAAATTGACAAAATAAACATAATTTAATATTCTGTCAAAATATATCAGATGGCCTGGATCGTTTGTCTCTCGACAGCGACAACCGCACGATATCTTTGTGAATTGTGTGCTGTGTCCAGCATCCTCCATTGATGCTGCTGCTGCTGCTGTTGCAGCTGTTAGTGGATATTGTTGCAATCGCTCGGGGACCAATAAATTGAACAGTATAATATTAAAATTGTGGGCGGAACGCAGTGCTAAAGGCAAACAGAACACTATACATTACATTGAATCGGTTGCGAGAAAATTGCATGTGGTTTTTCTGGGTAAACATGGTACACGACAAACATATAAATTTTACAAAAAGCCATGCAAAACAGAAAAAAAGCGTTCACCATATTTTTGTAGTGTGGTAAACGAGTGGCACTTTTTCATCTTCCCTCGCACCTTCTCTCCCAAAAATATGCATGGTTTCAATGCGTTTCAGGTGTAAATTTTCGTATATTGGTTGCAACAAACTGTTCAGCTGAGTCATCAAATTGTGCACCTGTTCGAGACGGACTCCCACAAAAATTCCATTTAAACTTTTCCCGTGTGTATGCAAGTGATTGCAATGCCACCCCGAATGGTGTTGCGAGAGCGAGAGCAAATCACATTATTAAATTCATGTGGGTCATTTAAGGTACATAATTGAAAACTCATTAAAAATTAATTAAAATAAATGCAAACGAGTTGCACACACGAACATTGCCTAGGAAATTCGCCCGAAATAACGACAAACACATGCACATAAACACAGTACAAATGGTTGTTGCTGGGTCGATATTTAAATTGAAATCGTTTACTTTTCGGAAAAATACATACCAAATACCAACGAGAAAATATTATTAATTATGTTTAAAATTGTGGATGCATTTATTTATATTTATTTGAGAATTCACAGTGAAATAAACAATTCATTGAAACATTTTTTGGCATGCGAAATGGGAAAATATCCAACTTGAATGGTTTTGACGATGATATTCAAAATGTACTTAATGAAACCACTTTTTTGCAGCATCTGTTATCTGTGAATGCATTTCAAGAATTAATGCCAATACCATTTTTCACCGTTTTTTTAAATCACTATATCGAAGTACGTTTCGCAGTGGATGTTCCTTCGTTAACATAATGCAATTGACACAAAATGGTATTCAATTGATTACTTTTTGTCCTGATTTCCGGTGGCACATCAACAAAATGTTTGAAATCAACTCTAACAACAACTTTCATTAAATTCCATTGTGTTTGTGATGCATTGAAATATTCAAACAGTCGACTCTAAAGCAATTCAGTAATATTGTAGGATCTGAATTCATATTTTGCTTATAACTCTCAAATAGGTTAGGAAATTAATTCAATTTTCACCAAACAAAATTGGTTTGCCGTAAAAACGATCAAAATTCCCAACACAAAAACTCAATCAAGTTTAAGCTCGGTTATTGGCTTGACGTCGATAATATTATTCGCATTGATTATGCACATAAATGCGCCGGTTTATATCGTCACTGATTCATTTTACACGAGAGAATAGTGGTTTTGAATATTTTAGCCGACATTTATCATCACTGCTCTTTCTCGCTCGCTCTCTCTCTCTCTCTTGCCCGAATTTTGATCGCATAAATTAAACAAGAGCGCATTAAAGTGCATTATCCGAATGCATTAATCACATACAAAAGCGATGGAAATAGAAACATTTTCGTACTGTACATAGTCATCATGGGACACATAAAATTCAACTATATTTTCAAATTGCATGCTTTTGATGCGAAACGGGGGAAAGTGTGTGCGTGTGCTTTTGTGACCCATCGGAATATCGAGCTCTGTATTTGCATATTATATTTTATACATACACATGTCTCAACAGAATATGCACGGAATATTCCGGCATAAAACATTTGTGCGCATAAAAGTAATATAATCTCTTATTTTGCTTTGTAGGCGACGATTGAGCTATTGATTCGGCTCATAAAAAATGCCATCATCAATATTCTATTGGCATTATATATTTAATGCGATTCAAAATGAATGGTTATTTAATGTTCAGCGATTTGCGATTAGATTATATGTTTGCACAATGTGTGAATATTTCTCTGCACTCAACATGTTGATGAATTCAGCTAATTAAATCGTCTGTTAACCGACAAAAACTTGTTTAATGGTTACATGGTTCTCGCACACGCATTCATTCATACATTCATCACTATTCAGTAGGTGTGTGTTCAAATTTTGGGATTTTGCTGTCGCCACATAAACCGCCACCGCACACGGTCGGAAGGCCAACAGTTTTTGGGGGTGTTAATTGATAAAATTCATTTTTGATTACGCGTCGGTGTGATCACGTAGATAAGTAGTAAAATAACCGCCAAATGTGTATGGGTATATGAAATTCGTTATACTAACACAATTACAACCGCATATAACATAGTCAGCCGGTGTATAAAAGTTGAGCTCATTTCATGGAATAATGGAAAAAAGGAACAAATTGAAGAGATGAAAACTTTTTATTTTCTAGGTTAATTGCAAAATCATCATATTTTTCCTCATTTTCCACAAATTGATTTAATTATTTTTTGAAAAAAAAGTATAAAACAACACTAAATCTCATTGAATACATTTTCTTTTGCAGATGGCTTAACTCAACGTGCATTCGAAAATACAGCTGCTCATATAAAATGTAATGTTTCAACACATTTGCCCAACGATCAAGCGCTATTAGTCGTTTGGTATAAAAATAATCTTCCAATTTACAGGTAAATTGATTCAGTTGTTGATTTAAAATTGCCAAATTGAATTCGGGTAATGCAGTTGGCGTGTTCGCGCATTTCGGCACGGCTGCATGTTGATTATTTAATGGGTTTGGTTAATGAAATCAATTCAACATAATAATTGACTGATTCTAAGTGGAAAATTTAAGTTACATGTAACGTAAATTGTTGCCAATCTGCTACACCAATTGTCAATCAATATGTCATTTCTAGTTTTTTTTTTCAATCGATATTTCATGTCATTAAATTGTTATAAACACGTTTGATAAAGAAAGAGAGCGAAATTATGTGACATTTAAAGTTAACTACATGCTAATTGCATTTCACAACTCATCAAATTGCAGCTATGATACACGTACTTCGTTGGTGCCATCACATTGGACCGATACAAATATTATGGGAAACAGGACAATTTTTCGAGCCGGTCGACGTGAACCAGCGGAATTAATAATAAAACAAGTTAAGGTAATCATGTCATTCATCATAATAACACTTTTCACACCCATCCATCTACCCGTTTTGGTATAACGGATTAAAAGAGCATTTAAACCGGAATTTATGAATGGCTGCGAGCTATTTTCACACAAAACAGACATTTTTTTTACTCCTTAGCATTTTCATAATATAGATAAATGTTTCATGCTTTTGTAACGCTATCTCTTGGCATTTGAAATCATGGCATGTAAGTGGCATCCTGAGTGCAACCGAGGAAGAGTGTATGAAAGAGAAGATAGAGCGAAAGAGCCAGTCAACAAACTACGAAAACAAATATTAAATTATTTCAATAATGCCATCGTTTTGGTATTCCACTTGCCATAGTAATCATATGAAACATTTTGCGTCCATATATTTCAATTTTGTGTGTGTGCCAACAGCATCACCACTACGGCGATAACAGCGTGAAGGTATGTGGCACTGACACCGACTACAATGTGTGAGCAAACGATTTTCAGTAATACATAAGATTTTTGGCCATCATCCAAGAATGCAGTTACTTTGCCCGCTTTTATCCACTGTATGTGTGAATTGCGAAGGCAATGCTCTCTGGTAGCTCGCTTTGATAAATTCCATAACATCTTTTTTGGTCGTTCGCCTGTATTTGGCTACTGTTTGTCTGCTACACTACAACGAGCATTCCATTATGAGAACGCATTTGTGTCATCATCATTGTAAAAAATTACTCATTCTCTCTCCACTATTCCAATATTACGAATTTTACATTTGCACTATTTTTATGGTTCTCATATTTTCACATAATGACCATCGTAACGCATACCACATACACACTCACTCACACACCCCGAGTCGAGTACCCGCACCGTTTTCGTCGCAAACGACAAAACATTGTAGCCATTCGCTCGCATAAGGACATAAACTATAAGTCTGTGTCATTTAGCCGAAGGAATGTTATAAAATTGCGTTTGAACGGAGCCCTACGAAAGCAAAAGTGAAAAAATGGCTGCACACCGATCTCATTGCCATGGTTGCCTCTACCGCTGTCGCCGTTCGTCGTTGAATAGTTCAAAAGCAAGAAAATTAATCTCTTGAAAATGTGCCATACCATTTTAACTCCCTAGGGGCAATTCACATTCACGAATGCCATTGCCATTCGCAGAATAAGAGGCATTCGTGCCTGTTTCGCCATGTATTTGGATTGCCGCGCGATCATTCGCGCGACGCTCCATAGTGAATGTATTAACACATTCGCACAAGCATTCGTAGCCATTCGCGGACTTGTGTTCACTCAAACGTCAGTAGCGATTGAGCGCTAAAAACGCCATAAGCAATGAGTTCACGTGTGTTTCAGATATTAGAAAAGAAATTAGCCGAAAAACAACCGGCAAATTTAGAAAAAATCATAATAAGTACTGGACTTGAATGCGAAACTGCTCTGTTATCCATTGATTCTAAAAGCATTAGCGATATAGAAGAATTTATAAACGAACATAAATTTTATTTGAAATATACGGCATACGAATATTGTCTGGCAAATAAGTCATTAATTTTGTCGATACGAAAAGTCTTGAATCGCTCCACCATAAATAAAAAACAAAACAAAATCAGTGTAAAACAGTATTTTCAAACGAAGTATTTTTGAGTTTTTCTAAATTTTCGTTCACAAATTCTTCAATATCGTTGATAATTTCACGGTCAATTAACATTAGCGATGACTCCGTGTCAAACGCACTTATTTCCAAAATTATTTTGATATCAACTGGAATTGTATTATTGGAAAATTTCACTAATTCAGAAAAAAGTTTTTCTATGCCCTAAAAATAAAATGTATGATATAATTTTTATATAAAATTAGCCTCAATAATGTTCTGTTTACCATTTTAACGACTTGAATTTGCACTGTTTTGACAAGTGTTTTGAAATGTCGTTCAGTTCTAGCTGCATTCGTGCATTCGCAATGCTACTCATTTGAATAGCACACTCATTTGCAGTGCCATTCGTAACCATTCGCGGACATTCGCGAATGCTTGTATTTAAATACATTGAATGGTTCCATTCGCATTCGCACGCATTCGTAGCATTTGCAAATGTTTGTATCTAAATGCACGTACTACCATTCGCCCATTCGCACAACTGGCACCATTCACAGTTCGTGAATTGCCCCTAGTTAACTCCATCCATTTAAACGTATGACACATACACGGCTGATCCATTTTCAACGCTACATACATTTTCATTAAAAACAGGGATATTTCAAAATTAGCCATAATAACGAGTGTTATCAGAACGATTGACATAAAAAAAAGCTCAAAAAGAGCTATTTTAATTTTTCGTCCCGGAAATTGTCTGTCGCCGGAATTCCACGGTTGTCAAAATTTGTACAAATTGCAACGCCCAAGCGGAGCGAACAGGAAAATAATGACTGACTGAGAACATGTATGTTTTATTGCAGCAGAAAGCGATGCAATTTATGAAAAATGAGTGTCAAAAGCAAAAGTTCGTAGACTCAAAAAGCTCTTGACAAATATTGGATTTGCGCCTAATGACATTGCCTTTGATTTCCGTCCACATGCAACACTCACAAGCATTACGCTTTTAATTGGTACGCGCACTCCTTCGAATAAAAGCTTTTTTTATGGAATTGACTTTTTTCCATTTGAATTCTTCAAAGAGATGTATTTTAATGCATGGCCGCGTCCATACGACTTCAAATTGTGTTTTAATTCACAGCAAATGATATTTAAATAAAGAGCAAATGTACGTATGATGAATATATGTGAATGGCAAGCTCATCGCTGGGAAATGTCTCATCTTTTTCTTGAAGATAAAATGAGGAAATCCAAACAACTTCTGCGCCATTGAGTCGAGATGGAGAGAGAGAGAGAGAGAGAGAGAGAGAGGAGAGAGAGAGAGAGAGAAAGAGAGAGAGAGAAACTGACGGATTCCATCTGAGATGCCATGGGATTGTGATTCCGTTTTCATACAACTCATCTTCTTGTGTTTGCTTTACATTTCGACGGATTATATTACATTTCACCATTCTCTTTTTCTCAAGGAAAGCATTCCTCACACAATTCATGATATTGCTCAAGATTCTTGTGCTGCTTTTTATATCAACAAAACTCACTTAAAACGCTGATTGTCAAACTTTTCTATATTTTTTTTCTTCATAAAATAAAAATTCAATGTTGACACAATGAGCTTATGTATGTCTGTATGGAAATGATGTTGAAATTTTAGCTCAGAGACAATATAATATTTATTAGACATGTTCTGTTTGATTACAACTGGTTATTACATTTTTGCTTCCTCATTTAGGCTGAAGATACGGGAGACTTTCGATGTAGAGTAGATTTTAAGTTATCACCGACGAGAAACAGCGTTGTAAACTTAGAAGTTGTAGGTGAGTAGTGTTTAATTCAAAGGCAATTATGGCCTATGTGTTTTTATGAAGGACGATAAATTCCATGGAATAAAACCAATTACAATCTAGAACATTTTTCGAACATAACACCAAATAATTCGATTGTTTTTTTATTCTCTTTCTACGAAAATGTGTATTTCCAGTGCCACCACAAAAGCCAAAAATTCTGAACGAACGTGGTGAAATGATTCAATCGTTGGCTGGTCCGTACGACGAAGGAAGTGATATGGTATTGTTGTGTGAAGTACGTGGCGGTTCACCACCGCCCAAAATTCAATGGTTGTGGAATGGAAAACCGCTCGATAGCACGATGTTGGATTTTTCCTTTGCATCAACGCAAACGAGTAAATTAGTCATAAAAAATGTGTCACGCATGCACCAACACTCAATCATAACATGTCGAGCTAGCAATTTTCCAAAAACCGAAACAACGACTAATGTTACCATTGATTTGCTATGTAAGTAGATATTTTTTAGATTCAAAAATCAATGTTTGTCAGAGAGAGGAAAAAGCAACCAATTTTTCCATGAATTTATTATTTGGCTCATTAACGAATAAAAATGTCGTATTCGAATAATTTAATGATAATTTGAGGTTGATTTAAACGATGATATTTTGCTTTTTAAAGACATATACTCTAAAGCAGGAAGTGGTGGGGAATTTGGGAATCGAATTCAATTGGTCAATAATAATATTTGAATTTAGAATGTGTTCATGTGGCTGTTGTGTTCGTGATGAAAATTGAAATGCAACAACTGTACATATTCCGTGCTTACTGTACGCCTATGCAATTGGTGGAAGCGCAACTCCCATACCCTACCTAAAATTATTTCCATTTGTTCGTTCGTTAAAGGTTCTGTTTGATCGTCAATTATTTCGCATATTACTATTATCGACACCCAAATCAAAAAAAACCAATTAAGCATTGTACACAATACATACAAACCACACGCAGGCCATTCATAATATATCACATTTCTTCTTGGTAATGCTTTGTAGAACCTTTTTTTTATATGATTAAATTGATTTAGCTAAACTATTGTATTGTCACATATTTTCTGGAGCTAATTTTCCGTGAGCGTGTCAAAGTGTTTGGTTTATTCTTTTTTCTTCATATTTCTCTTTCGCTCCAAAGTCATCATGCGATATTTGTTCGGAATTATTATGGAAGGGAAATGGGAACTTAGTGGGATTTCAGTTATTTCCCCGACGGCCAACACCAAATCTCCAACATCGATATGCACATAAATTCGAATCCATTTTAACCACAGTGTGCATGTCGATTAAACGTTTTGTTATTCACATCACACAACCCGAAAAATTACACCAACACTCAAACACCATATAATGGTCATATGGGACGCGCTTCAACCTAATGAATCGCTATTATTTATTATTAGCTTAACATTATTGTGTTCTGAATTCGTTCATTAGTCATCACACATTGGATGGATGAATGAATGGAATAATTTTGTGTTATTTTCGTGTCTTTTCCATATTATTATTGCTCGTCTTTTCGACCGACCATCGCCACCACCATAACAATAGCATTCATTGAAATGATAATATTTTTGGGGAGCTTTGTTTGGGAAAATGTGTATTGTTAGTTTCTAAAGCACACACGCACACCTCAAGTAAATGTATACAATTGTGGCTAATAAAACGTTTATGAATATATCTAATTGCAGTGCGGCCATTGTCGGTGGATATTTTATTGAATAATCAGCCATTGTCAGCCGAACGGACATATGACATCGAATGCCAGGCAATTGGCTCGAAACCATCAGCCAAAATTACATGGTGGATGAATGGTGTTCAGTTGCGTAGCTTCCGAGAAAAGGTATGTCAATCGAAATGCCATTATTTATATACTCAAGTTATATCGTTTGCCAAATGTTATTCAATTGAAAATTCTCGACAAGTTGCATTGAAATGATGAAGTACAAATCAAATGATGGATTTCATTCGATGTGACCTTCAGTTCATTTGGGGTCGCTCAATTTGGAATGAACTGTGCTTGTTTTTTCTTTCATTGTGAATCGCAACGTAATGAAAAATGGCAGCTTTTCACATTTGCCACAAAGAAAGCTATCAATCGTGCTTAATGATACTTTTTATATCGGTCAGACCGGAAGGAAGGAAGCGAAACGGAAATGTGTATGTGGAAATGATTATATATAATTTGGCATACGCTCCAATTCGGTTGCCACGTTTTTCTGCCCGTTTATTTTGTCTCATTTGATGCGTAGCTGGCTCAAAAATAAATGTGTTTGTTTGAATTTCTTCGAATCGAATTGCCCATAAAATATGTGTGATTTTGTACCAAGCTAATTAGCACTTCGATGCATCGTTTGACGGATTTTTTCGATCAAATACATTGGATTTTTTACCATCATCAAATGGTATTAACCCTTTATCACATATCGGTTCCTAAAGTAACCAGATACGCCAGACGCTATAGCTATGAAACCACTGAATATATTTGCATTCTCGTTTGGAAACAAATGTAGGGAATTGAATTAGCTTTCATTTGATACTTTACATGCTACAATTGGCTGGCTGAATGGAAGGTTTTTTCTGTTCATGTACTGCTGTAAAAAAATTGCGAAATTATAGCAGAATTCCACATTTTTCCTCCTCTTATCTTGTTCATTCTTTTCAATTGTCAAATTAGGTCTCGTAGGACCAAAACACATCAATTTAACTTTCTGCATCATTAGTTTTATGAAATTTAATTTTTTCAAGCTTTTGTAGTGATTTGACACTTTTGACTCTTCTCCGATTTTCTCGACAAATACGCAATTTTTCAAAAATCTAAGTATGAAGTCTTTCTCTATTTATCATGGCACAAAACATATATCAAAATGATTCAAAAACAAAAAATTGTGCATCAAAGGGTTAAAGCGACGGTGTTTTCCATGCTAATAGGATTGGTTGAATATGTCAAAGGAGGATCAATATTCGATTTCAGATTCGAATTGGAATGGAGTAGAGTAGAGATGAGTGGAGCGCAGCGAAGCAGAGTGGAGTAAGTGGATCAGATCAAGCATTTGTGATTTATTCAATGGCATGAAAGACATGATCAACTCAATAATTGGAGCTTGTCAAACGATAAAAATAATGAAGCTCCCGAATTTCCAATTGAAATGTTGAGATTTTCTCTGTCGTTCATATTTCCAATCAATTTCGCTGATGGATTTTAAGCGAAATCCCATTGTCAACGCCATTTTAATGCAGTTCTTCGAGAAAATCTCCATAAATTATGGAATTCTGCACGAACATGAGTGTGGCTTTTAGAAAAAAAAAACTCAATTGAATTTTTTTCCCGTCTATTTTTTTTCTTCATCTTTTTGCATGTGTCATTCCATCTTTCATACGACATCGACAGGCATCGGATAATGGCAATGTAAGCGTATCGATTTTAAGCTTCACACCAACGCGTGAGGATAATGGCAAAGTACTCATTTGCCGTGCCATTAACGAAGTGATGAAACATAGTATTAAAGAAACCACACTGAAACTGAATATTTATTGTAAGTATTTTCGTGATATTTATGACATGGTGTTTATTTTTATTGGTCCAACTGGTGGAGTTTACAAATGGGTATAAATGGCATGACCGAATTCATCCGCACCAAAAACCGAATTAAATGCGGCAAACATAGGCCATGCCTCACCCACTCTTTCTCCATCTTAATTTACCCGTTGGATATCAACAAATGTACCGTGTGCTCCAGTTGGTATTCGTCTCTATGTCTCTGCTAATAGTTTCAATTAATTTCTAAAGCCCTGAAAACTAATTTGGTTCTGGTTCTGCCATTTGTTTCCATGTATTTGTTTGCAGTTTTGCCCATAATCCGGTTATCGCTTGGCTCAAATTTGAATCCCGATGATATCGAAGAAGGTAATTATTGCGAATTTCTATATTTTATTTACAAATGGGCTACACATAGCAGCCCGTCGACGTGCCGTTCGAATGTTTCTAATCAAATACGCCACACCGAATGGAGGTAATATCGTACATCTTCTTTATGGATTTCTTTGCTCCTCGCCCAGCCTATATAATGTGCTGAAAGCAAGCACCAATTTTGTGGTAATTTACCCAATATTGACGCCACACAAATATATAAATACGCTGTGCGAAATACCAAAGAATTTCCCAACGCCACACATAATATAGAAAGTCTTTGCTGCTTTTTATCGATTTTTTCTCCCATTCTCGTCTTCAGTCGAATGAATTTCCATTTCTTATTTGGTACCGTTTCGTTCTTCTTTCCCCTTCTTTCAGGCGATGACGTCTACTGGGAATGCAAAGGTAAGGATGATGATGCTTTTGTGCCGAGAATTACAACAACAATGACGGCGCAAGAAAGTGAAGCGTTTTTCTTCGCTTTTGTTCTTTGATTCCTTTTATTCCGCCCAACGCCAAAACAAGTGGAATATTGTTTTTTTGCCTCGCTTTTTTCTTCTCGAGCCTGTGTGCTTTTCACTTATGCCAACACGACCTGATTTTCACTTCATTCAGAAATAAAAACGAAAAACATACGCTTCTGTGAATGGCACAACCGACACTCCATGTGCGATGGCTGTGCCATACATACTGGAATATAGAATTACTATATACAACGTGAACAAAAGAAAATGAAATTTTGCCCATCGGTTAAAATGGACCGAGTGAAAAGTAGCAGCTCATGCACAAAATTAAAACTAAAGCATACACTTTATTAGTTTGGGTTTGTTTTTCGTAGCACTCAGGCTAGATTCAATGTTGTCATTGCTCGAAGAAGGAACTAAAACGAATGAGAAAAAAAAAAACAAACTAAATAATCGTCTACTCATTTTCACTTTTTTTTCTCATTTTTTTCTCTAGTTCATGCCAATCCTCCTGCGTACAAAGTGGTTTGGAAACATAATGTAAGTTCATTTTCATAAAATATCGCATAAAACGGCGTTTAGTAGTTACTTCATTGTGTATTTTCCCCTTCTCATTTCTACAACAACACGTAAAAAAGCACTTAACATTTTTGATGTTGCGCTTTTTATCACAAAACCACCGAGTTGATGTCATAGTTTCTGTTGTACTCGTATGTATGTGTAAATGGTTTTTTTTTCTGTCTGTCAGTGTAACATATGCAACGAAGGACTAAGCACTCATTTATTGTCATTTTGGCAGTAATGTTGACAGGCTGATGGTCGAGCAGAAATTACATTAAAAAAATAATATAACATTCAAACTGATTTTATAATGTTTATAATGGGGAAATTTATTAAATCGGCCCCGATGAACATTGAATTCAAGTACGCACTCATGTAATAATGGATCAAAAGTACAAAATATGCTCCAACATGTTCATTTTATTATGGCATTACCCAAGCGTAATGTAGCTAACGAATATAACAACATTCCTTCTTCTTTGACCCCACACCCCACCTCCGTCACTCACAACGCGCATGCAAATTACATCTAAACGAAAGAACCTATTTTGCCCATTCGCTGTGCTCGATTCATTCTAACGCACGAATTTTATCTAACTCAATGCGATTTCGAACATTTGAAATGTGAATTCACGTGTATTACGTATCGTTTTAGCGTGTGAGCGCATCATGTGGCTGTTAGTATGTCAGGAATTGGTTATCATTATAATTTCTAATATGGGTTTGCGTTTAAAATTTTAAAATGTTCAAAAACGGTTGTTGAATTCACGGTGAAACGTTTTTGCCGCTCAATATTTGCCATTCGGAATTGGAGTTGGGAGAAAAAGCACCACTGGTTATCGCTTGTGCCAAATGGAATTCGTACAGTTTTCATATATTTAAATGTGTACGGCGCTCGTGATCGTGCCAAAATCATTTTTTATGGGAGCAACCATTCTCCACTAGTTGTATTATAATATTTGTTTTATGTTATTGCTTGGATTATGCACGCAAAATACGTACAACAGTTCGGAGAGACGAGCGGAGTGTATAAAATATAATTACAATATGTTTCAAATGTTGTGACTTGTGTAAACGAATGAGGAAAGGAGGGAAGGAGTGAATTGAAATTTTGTTGAAGATACTAAAATGGTACACACTTTTTTAAAAGTGACAGATAAAAAGTATTACCAGATGTCACTTATACGCGAGTTAATTTACATTTAGTAATGAACGAACGGAAAATTAACAATTTTTTATTTAGGGGAAATTGGGGAATTCCGGGCCACAGTTTATTTTTCGTTCATAACTTTGTGATAAATATACTTTTCTTCAAAATTAGAATATCTCAGTTGTAGTACGCCTCAAATCCTACCATTTGGGTCTTCTCACTTATAAAAATTCAACTTTTCTAAAAAAAAATTGGTGGTTGGCAAAAAAAGTACGTTTTCGACATTTTCAAAAATCATGGGGAATTGCGGGCCACTTCATGGATTGACATAAAACTGACAATATATTGGTGAAAAATGTTTATTGATCGTTCGGAATGACAAAAGAAATTATTTTATATGAAATGAAATTGAAAAAATCGTAAAATGAAGATCAAAATTAGTCCGATAATTCGCAAGTAGCGCATGTAAAAGAGCTGGTCGTCATATTGGCGCATTTCAAGTGAACTGCTTGGTCGCATGAATCGCAATGAATTGAATTATTTCGATTGAGCTTCTTTGGCATGTTTTCCTTGCAAATGATGCAGATCAAAACATCTTCTTCTTCTTCAGTAGAAGATTGAGTGCGCTGTTTCTTCTTTGACGTGGTTGATAACACGTGGTTGTTACTGCACGGGCTTTGCGCTTCTTTGTTGCTGGTGGTTTTGTTTTTGCATCCTTTTGTTGTTGCTTTTTTTCCAATTTCTGGCTCTTGACTTCAGCTTTCTGACGCAATCGGGCCACAACCTCTGGCGATGTTAAAATGCTTGTTTTCATTGGCTTTGGGCCAAAAATATATGTTTAAAAAGGACACATAACAGATATTTTGTCGAAATTTGGCTTGAAAAACATTGAATGTGCAATAAACATGCGTTTTGAACTCATCTAATGTCAAAAATGTAGTGGCCCGTAATTCCCCAGAAAAAATGGCCCGGAATTCCCCAAATGTTCATAATTACAAGATGGTTGCGCATGACTCACTCAATGTATCTTTATGCAAAATTCCTTTTGTGAGGCGAAAGAATAATGACACACCATAAAAAAAAACATACTTACCTGAATTTATTATCGAAAAAAGGTCGTTTAAAATATGCAAACACGATGATCAGAAAAAAATATTTTGGAATTTTTGTAAATGCACTTATTGCAGAGAGCTCACAGCACGTGTTCACGCGTCGAGTAGTGATAGGAAACTGATATTAGGCTAAGACAAGACAAATGAAGCAATTTGGACTTGTCTAACTATTCAAGTGACAGAGAAAAGTCGGGTGGCCCGCAATTCCCCATGGCCCGGAATTCCCCAATTCCCCCTACATTTTTGGGTTATCTAGTGTCAGATGTCAGATGTCAAATGTTTGGCGATTAATTGATATCAGGCAATACTTTCAATCTGTCCATTTTGAGTGTGTAAGTGCATGTCGGATTGAGTGATGTGTGTCTGAGGACGAAGAATGTCGGAAATGAGAGTGGGTTTTGTGTTGACGCATTGGCGCATCAACGGAAGTGTCGCATAATTTCAAATCAGATCATTGTTGTGCCCATGCTCTACCACTAATATTATTCTCTCATTTTAAAACAAAACAACATCCTCAAAAGGGTAATTGTTGTCGGCACATATGCACAGTGCACATCGGCAATAGAGCTCATACAATGTATATTGTACGACGGAGGCTCCGAAAGCTTTTCAATTGTGTTCTGTGTACCTAGTAACAATTGACTTTTTGTTCGGTTGCTTTTAATTTTTTGATTCAATTCCCTAAACAATGTCCATGTCATTCGTGGCAGCATCATAGCGAGCACATACATGAAAACACTGACTAATGAGCAAAATTATCTTGGATCTTTTATGTGATTTGAATGCGAACGAGAATGTGAATGTGAGTGTGTTTGTGTTTTCATATTGTTGTTAGGGTAACGCGCGTGTGCGACGTAATTCGCTGTCTATCTGGATGTAATCATGCGATGTGAGGTCATGCCATGATAACCGATGTCAAATTATACATTTGCCAAGCGGCCCCGTTCTCTACTCGATGAGGTTTTTTTTATGTGTATAATATACAATAAGCTTTGCCAAACCATGTGCTGTTCGTCTTGTTGTTATTAAAATGGGCAAAACGACAGCAACCGACCATTATGAGGTTCACTCACTTTGTCCCTGTGTGTGTGTGTGTGTATATTTCTTTTATCACTCACTCTCGCTCCGCATCGACCGTTGATGCGTGCAACCCAAAATGACCAAAGGTTTTTTTACTTATGCCGGCTTTGCCCGGAATTTGTGTCTAGGTCGTGCAAACAGAACACCATTTTGCCCTTTGCAATCTACTAAAAATGTTATTAAACATTTACACATTCAGCACTGTCAAAAGATGGCCAACACACACACGCACATAAAGAAGCACAAAAGGTTCTTCACTTTTAGACAATGGATATTACATTAAAAATCGTACGTGCAACCCGTCATGTATGCTCCGTACGAATAGAGACTGGCCTGTAAATTAGTTACCATTTTAATTCCTTGTCATTGCATTAAGTAATTAGAATTGGAAAATTGCTTTTGGGATTTCATGTCAGGCCATCAATAAACTTTTTTTTTCGTTGTGTCTGTCACACCACCAACTGCACCGTTTCGTTTCGTTTGCTTTAATTTTAACCTCATACTGTCTCGCCCAATCGAATTGAACCATATTTTATTGCGGTGTCTCGTTTTTTTTTCTTTCTTCTCTTGGATTTTCTGGGTCTTGTTTTCATTCATTTTCGGTGTTGTCTGTTGATTAAAGCCCCATATATATTGGCCTATTCGACGTGTGATATCAAATTGAAGTCATAACGGCACAGCGTTTGCACGTAGCAACCGCATAATTGGTGTGTATGCCAAAAAGCCACATGCCGGCCGCAAAATTACAGATCCGGTTGCCATGAAAATGTGGCAACGGATAAAAGAAGACGAAAAAGAGGAACTCATCAAAGATCAGAGGAAAAATGGTTTCAATACAAAATCTGTATTGACCGAGGCATTTACTCTGCGAATGAATGGAGCGCAAATGAAACAGAACCAATAAATTCAATGTTGTGACCAAATTGAATTCCATGATTGAATAATAAAAGTGGCCAAAGATTTAGGTGGCGGTGTTGTCTTGGCGGTCTGTTAATGGCACGAGATCGTATCAGTTAATTTAAGAGGTTTTATGTGATTTGTCGTTGTCGACGTCGTTGGCTTGAATATGTCCATTGATAGACATTACGCTTGATGTGTGTTTTCTCGACCATTTATTTGCCTGTCTGTTGTACCCTTCCAAGCGTTCACTGCTTTTTTTATGCTATTTATATGTGTACGAGTATATATCCTGCGGAAGTTTTTTCAATCTGGTTTTTTCCTCTCTTTCTCTCTCTCTCTCTCTCTCTCTACTCATAACAGAATCAAATTGTTCAACACAATCCGAAGGTTGGTGTGATAGCGAGCAGCAATGATTTGGCGCTACAGAGTGTGCAGATTCATCAAGCTGGCAACTATACATGCATTGCATCAAATGTCGAGGGAGATGGTGAAAGTAATACGCTTGAGCTGAAAGTGATGTGTACGTAATTTTATACGCCATAGAATACGATTGGAATAACAGTGATGAACATTGAATTACGCATTGCCATAACAACAGGAGTGTGAAAAGCATTCGCAAACAGAACGAATGATGCTCACGATGGAACGAACGACAGATAGAATGGGAGAAATGCACATAAATAGCAAAAGCACAAAATCATCATATGATTAAGACATTGAGCATTCTTTTTGCGCGTTGCGATTTATTCACTCATATGAAATGTTTTACTTCTACCACACTTGTGATTGACGATATGTTTTCCCTTTCTCTCTTGTATTTGTTTTTCTTGCGTTTGACATACGATCTGTATAGACCGGCCGTTGTGTCGAAGTGACCAGAAACGGATATATGGAGTGGCACGAAATGAACAGGCAAGAATCTTGTGTGAAGTGGATGCATATCCACCGCCAACCGCCTTCAAGTGGTCATTTAACAATACGGCCGAAACCATTGATATGCCACAAAATGGATTTGAAAAACATTCGAAATCCTCTTCTCGTTTGGCCTATACACCAGTCAAGGTTTGTGTCTAATTATTTTCCTTTATTTTATTGCCAAAACACACACATACACAACGGAATTGTATATATGTGTATTTTGTTGATATGGACCTAAGTTAATTTAAAATGACTTCAGCATTTACTAAATGTTGATATTTAACATTGAGATGTTGCATGATAAATGTAAATTAGCATAAATACTTTATATTTATTAGACAGCGCATCGGTCACAAATCCATCTACAATGACACGAAGTTTGTGTGTTTGTGTATGTGACAGTCATTTGGTATGGTTGGTAGGGCATTTAAATCATTCAAGCAATGGCTTGCATTCTGATTAGTAGTAATTCATTTCGGAAACATTGACTACGAAATGTTTTAATGAATTAGATATTAGTTACATTTGAAGTGGCACGTATGTGCGCCTTTCGTGGCTCATTGATTTTGTGATATCGTTTCAAATGTCGGTTGACCGACTATGATATTGTCACACTTATTCCCATTCCCATAACGAATTTCGTATTTCGAATTCAGGTGGAGATAAGATGTATGGCTCGTGATTAGACAGAATAATGCCAATATAATTGTGTATTGAAGCCAAGTGTAATTACAACATAATAATATCAGAATCGTGTTCAGCTATGATTCAAAATAGCCTGGCTGGATAGATCAATTGACCTATCAATCAGTCATGCGATCTAATTTTCAAACATTCAGTGAACTAAGCACACGATTTCCGACCACAATTTGTAACACATAGACATGCATCAAAAATTTGTTATGCATTAGCCATAGTTTGGGCATAGATACATTGTACGCATAGAACAAAGCAGTAGCGCTTCATTTTCGAGTTTTTAATTAGACGCAAATTTGGAGAAATGATTTTGAGAGAGAATATTGTTGAGAGAAAAGCCAAATTCCACGTTCTTATCTGAACATGATTTTCAATCAGACTTTGACTATTGATTCAGGAATTTCAGAATGTTATTTTGTTGCATATATTTCAAATACGTACGCAACAAGAGTTTGCCAAACCGAATTTCATTCCCAAATCATGTAAACGGATGTAAAATGGGAATTTTCTATTGAACACATTATGTGCTAAAATCTCGATTGAAAACCAATACCTAGGAAATGGATTACGGTACGTTGATGTGTTGGGCGGATAATGCTGTTGGTCAACAGAAAGAACCGTGCGTATTCCATATAATTGCTGCTGGAAAACCCGACTCACCCTACAATTGTACGCTGTTGAATCAAACATCAGACGGATTGGAAGTGGATTGCAACGAAGGTAGATACAAACACAAGCATTTCGAAAATTTTTATACTTTCTTTTACATTCATTATACTTCAAATATCAAACATTGTTAAACGCTTCTTATTCGGTCTCTCTCGAAGTACCAATATCATGCATTCATTTAAAGTCAATTCAAATGTTATGAAAAGTCAAAATTGAATTCCTCCCCTTAATCCAATTTTCATCACTCCAATTCAACTCAACATTGGTTAGTACTTAAACGGAGTTTCGGTTTCAATTTATCATTCATGTTATTCGTTTTTATGCGGAAAACTTGGGAAATACAAATGAGTTTGTGTGTTTGTTTGTTGTAAACACCAAAATAATCACATCAAATACCCGAAACATGGTTTATTCATGATGAAAACAAACTGTTTTCCTTCACTCGAGTGGATTAGAATGACATATATAATATTTGTTGGGGCCGTTTTTAAATAATAAATTTTTCCAAGTGTTTCAACATTGTCACGCATTCATGTTGATTTCAAAACCGACGCCTTACGGTTGTTTGTCATTATTAATTTTGTCTTGTCATTGTTTCATTTATCGTTCTGTTGGTTTTACATATTTTTTTTCATCTAACGATTCGGTTGACTTGTTAAAAATTCAACAAATTTTGTTGTGTTTAATCGAAAATTGAACCGAAAAAAAAGGTTTCGATGGTGGTCAACGGCAATGGTTTCGTATGGAAATTATCGATCAACAAACTGATATTTTGATAGCGAATTTGTCATCGTTGCAACCGACATTCGTTGTGAGCGGTTTGGATTCGGAACGTTTGCTCAAAATAGCTGTGATGGCCATCAACTCGAAAGGTGTTAGCGATCGTGTCATTTTTGAAGCGCAAACATTGAAAGCAGCCGAAAAACGAATGGGTAAGTGTTCATTTAGTTGTGTTCCATTTGTTCATTCGTTAATATTCGATTAGTTAGCCCGTCATCAATGCAGGAATGCCTAATTATTGATTATTTACCGTTTTGCCTCGGTCAGAAATTCTATTTAGCGGTTATCAGATCATCGGTTTAATTAAAGGACGTCAGCTACCTAATTATTATATTTCTTCATTTTGAGGCTCGCAATTGTCATCGTGTAGTGCCTTTCATTCTTGTTTTTTTTTCTACTCTTTTTCCATAAAAAATTTTTTTGACCCATATTCGGGAGCCGAAGTGATTTTAAGTTTGGTAGAAAGTAAAACAATAGAGAAAAGAAAGTTCCATTTGCAACAGAAAAAAAAGTCGAGTTAAAAAAAACCATTGAGTAGCAGAAAACAAAAAGTTTCAAGCACTCATGTTGTGTCGACAGCATTTTTGTAACACGCTGAACGTGGCGAATCTCGCGAGAGCCTTAAATTCCGAATTTAATTCGTTTATTCAGTGTTACACTATACCCAAGCGTCATGCGACAACAAGATTTATTCATCTTTTTCCTCTAGAATAGAAAATAAGCTCTTTTCCATCCATTGATTTATTAATCTTGTTCTCTGTTTATGCCATTCGCCCCCCCCCCCCCCTCTCGCTGCCTTTCGTTTATTTTCTCTTTCTTTTTCTTTTTCTTCTCGACATTGCTATGCGAAACACTAACGACGTTTCATTGTTCGTGACCATATCTACGGAATCATCAATCGCATTTGTAGGCCCCAACGCTCAATTTGAACTAACGCCCGTTCTATCGATTGGCATATTTATCGGTGTATTAACGGCACTTGTGTGCATTGCATTTGGTACAGCACTCGCGCTAAAGCTCCGCACATCCGAACAGTTGCGCCGACGTCGACTTCATCAACCGAACGATTCACAATTCGATAAACCGTTTTCAACACGTCCGGGAAATTTAGCAATTAAAGATAAAATTTCATTACCGCTCGGTGTTGGTGACTTAGACGATATTTACGATGATAAAAATCCAGATGTCGTTCCGTATAATGAAGGTAAGGATTCTTTCTGCTAATTCACACGTATCTCTTTTAACCTTTTTCTACCAACAACAACAGCTTAAATGTGTATATGTGTATATACACGAATTTGATTTTTGTCTAAATAATTTCGGGTGTTTGTCGTTCGACTTTAATTTTTGGCCTATGTGCAATTTTGGGCTGGGTGAATCTCATTTGAGCTTCACGTTAAAATGAGTTTGAGTCAAAAGATTGAAGATAAGCATCGGATAAAAATGCTACGAACTTATGTTTGGTATTCGTGTAGTAAAAAGACGACGCGGGCAAAATTTCGCTCATGAAGATGTTTTGTACCATTCGTTTCCTTTTTGCCTTGAAACAATTCGACGAACAGACATTAGCTTTGTACCGATTTAGTGTCGTGTTCAAGTGTGGAACGTGTTCGATGCGACAATTGCTCATGAAATAAATCGTAATGATTTTTATTGGGTCGATTGTTCTCGCCATCGAAATAATTTACTTGGGATGTGTTTTTCGGTTTCTCTGGATTTAATTGATTTCTCTCGTTGAACACGTACCGGAATTGAACATTTGCGCCCGTTCCTATCCACACAGAATGTGACACTTGCAACATTCGATCGCATTAAATGATTTCAAACCAAAGTTCCAAGTAAAACCCTTCATTTATGATTGTGATGGGGTTAATTACACTCATTATAAAGCATTTCCTTGCGTTATTTGTAGCACAGTGCACAAGTGAAAGACCATTTTTATCATTTGGTTTGCAACTAATTCCACATCGAAATTCAACCAACTCGACAATCTTCGTTCAATGGTGAATATGTGCAAATCCAGTCTAATGCCAGATTATTGCCTTACTTTTATGCACACGCGAACGAGAAAGGAACGGAAAAAATGGTTTGAAATTTAGTATTCATATCCATGGTATTATCAGTCCAATAAATAGCATTAATAAGCCGTTTCCTTCGTCTGTGAATGTGCATCGATTCACAGATTGTTGAAATGTGATTATGCCAATCCAACATGTGCGCCAAAGGCACATTCGGCGAGGGTGCTGGGGAAGGGGAATATCTGGCGCATATTCCAATAGTGATCATATTTCATTTTAAAATAGCGCTCGAATGGCCCACAGCATTTGCACCATCGTCAAACACCCATATCCGTTGCAATTTTCGAAACATAACTCCCTCTCCGCTCCCCATCCACCAACTGGCCATCAAATAAAATCATATTCGTTATTTTAATGCTGAAATGAAGCAAAAGCACAGTTTATACTTTATCGTTAGTCTCTTGTTTCCACTCTTCGCATACAGATCTTGACTGTAAATTAAAATCAGCCGCACAGACTCCAGCTGCAATGCACAATAATTTACACAACAATGTGCCGGAAATTCTGGGACGGAATAACGTTAACAGCTCTCAAATGTACTATAAAACGGTAAGTACACATTTCGCGAGTTGCATTATAATTTTAATATTTAAAATCGTTTCACAATCGTTGGATTGAGCGCACGGTCGCGCCCGCGCGCACACACACACGCTCTTCTTCCACTGACTTGATCGACACGGGTGAACGGAACACGTTAAACAGCCAGTATAAACACACGTACTTCCGAGCGTTGTTTTGTGTATGCACGTTTTACTACTTGTTTTCAGAACGTTCACGCGATAGATTGCGGATAGGAATGGATGGAGTGAGAGCAAATAAAAAAAAGAAGGTGATAAGAATCGGTAAAAGGTTCGCCGCATAGTGATAGAGATATAGTTACCAAGAGAGAAAGTAGCCGAGCAATGAGTGCATACATGTACCAAAATTGACGAGACTTTTTAGACGGTAAACCCATGTGTGCTGACGACGGTAAATAAATGGACAAACGGCTGGTTTCAGGCGATAAGCCACTGTAACTATGCCACAGTTAAACTAGTTTACGTGTTTTTTTCTTTCAATACATATTTGCCACGAAAGGAGAGCGCGCGCGCGCGCGTGTGTGTGTGTGTAAAGAACTCTTGTTAAGATCAAATTTGAATTACATGAATTAAGTAAACATTTTACATTTTCTTCGGAAATTTTTTGTTTTTATTTATTTTCAAGCTTAAATGTGGAACACAATTCCGTGAGTTATTTCATTAAAATTTTACACCATTTTCTTCGTTTAAGCAGCCAGCTCCTTCGCATTCTCAAGCGAATCAATCGAGTGCAGATGAATTACATTATGCTGAGTTGGCTATATCGCGAAACTGTGCGACTGGCAGTGGCATATCATTGAGTAATAAGCAAATATCAACGACGACGACGATGGCGATGGCGACATCAACAGCAGCAGTGCCAGCAACAGGGAATTATGAAATTAAGTATACAGACACAAAAAATACATTGCCAAATAAGCCACCGGCATACGATTACTTTAAGGAACCCACGGTATATGCTCAAATCGATCATTTCAAGACGTTGCAACACAAATCAAACTCATCGATGGCGGCAGCGACAGCGACAGCGGCATCATCATCGATGACAAACAGTGCATCAGCGTCAAATGCTTATCAATTACATCATCAAAATGCAACAGCAACCCATCAGAGTAATCAATATTACCAGCAACAAGCTCAACCTCATCCGCAATTACAATACGGAAGCGATAGTAGTTACAATATGCGGAATAGCAACAATAGTGTGGGAAGTGGCAGCGGTGCCGCATTAAATAATAGTGGCAGTAATGGTACACTTAGCAATAGTAATACATTAACATTTTCCAATCAATCAATACAATCGCCATCATCATCGTCGACCGTTTACTATTCGGGAAATCCGACGCAATCACAACAACCTCCACAGTCACTTGCCACCGCTACTAACACCTCGAAACAATACTCACGAGAAATTGTCACCATTCGAACACCATTGCTCTGTTCGCAACAAGAAAGTTGTGTCTAAATGGTTTGTGTTTTCTTTTTTTAGAGATTTTACGCAAAAATTCATTCACACATACACACACCGAAAATCACATCATTAGAAATAATTTAAGAAGATGGAAAAAAACGCAAGTAAATTGTATCACTCATACACACACTTACACAAAGAGAAACACATTGCAATTTTTCGATACCATAAAAATTTAGGTGGAAATTTAAATTTCCACACAATCAATTTACTCTATCGATATTCAATGTTCTTACTAAAATAACATACTCACAAAATGGATCATAGAAGAAATTAGATGATGTGGAAACAAGAACACTCAATTTTATTACATTTTAAATGGAAAAATACACACACACAAACACAGACTCACACCAAATAGTTAATGTAAAACAAAAACAAGTGAAATGTAACTCTAATATTTTCCATCATCCAGCATTTTAATCCAACATACACATTTTTTGTGACAAAATAATGAACAAAGCTCATGCGAACTAAAAGAGTGAGAAATGATAAAATCATTTTAGACGTTGTACGAATGTAACGGTTTTGGTAAACAATGGAATTGATACAATGATTTAAATAGTTTGGGAAGGAGAAAAAAAAACTAGTTTAACAACGGTAATGAAAAGAAAAAAACTGGACTGAAAAATCGATGAATAATTTATGTTTGCGCTAACTGTATACGACGGTGATGAGAGTATAGTTTTGATTCGGTTTTATTGTTGAATACATTTTGTGGCTTTGAATCGAATGAAGCGATTTTGTTAAATTTCAAATGAAAAGCGTATCCATTTTTAATTCATGTCAAATGAGCAATTGATTTGATTGTGTCGCAATTGTGTAGGGTATTTTTTCTAATGCAAGAGGATATTTTCTATTTTCTAATCGAAGACTATCAATGGATTTTTTTTAATTAAATTCCATATATTATTCTGGTGTTTATCATCAGTCAGATTTTAGCGAATATAATGTAGTCAAATAACATTATAGACTTTTTGAGTCTTTACTGCACCGATTTATTACTTATCATCAATGCAATGTCGATCAATTTCAATCGAACAAATTGCAATGAAATAACGAAAACCAACTGCAACAGACATCAATTCATCACATTAGTTAGTCAATTTATGAAAAATTTTCCTACTCTCTCTGTCCAAAACAACAACAACATAAATCAACTAGTAGACATGTGTAACGCATCTGTACATATAAATGCAATTAAACATTAACAGAATAATGTTAGCTATGTAAGTGAAAACAGTAAACAGAGACAAAAAAAAGAATACATTGAATCACACACCGACAACACACGGAATGATGAAAACTTTCAATATTCAATCAATAAGCGTACCAAATTGTAAATTTATGTGAAGAAATGAACGAACAGCAAAATACCATTTGAAATGGAATGAACTGCATGCAGTCTCTCGGACGATATATATATACATACAAATTTGATTATTATTGTCGTTATTATTTTTGTTAATCAAAATTTAAAAAAAACAACAACAAATAAATCAATTTTACTATTGAATGTATAAAAAGCCGAATAAACAACACAGAAAATCTTGAAATAAATTTTAATTCAAAAGATAAACAGAAGCGGTTTTTTGTTCCTCCACTGGTTCATTTAAACACTTTTCAGGGTGGGTGAGAGCTTTTTTTGTATGGTAATTTGATGGTCTAAAAAAGAAGAATGAAATGTTATCATTGAAACTGTTATACATGTAATGAAATATAGCGCCAAGTATACTCAGGTCATATCAATTTATCTATCAAAAATAGAGTGATTCGTATTTATAGGTAGGTTCTCATGTCTAATAAAATTCGTGTGTTTAAATTTAAACCATCGAATAACAGGTAAGAGTTTCAATATATATTCAAATTAAGGAAAATTCAAAGGTTCACGCGCAAGCTGTAACTATTACGTTTCATTTTCAACGGTGAGTTTGGTTTACAACAAGAAAACACTACAGCATGAGCAATAAAATGAGAGAAAATCGCTGTTCAATTGAAGTTTTTAATAAAATGTTTTATTGCTGAAAAAAAAGAAAAAATATACGAAAAAAAACCATGGCTGCGTTAATGCTCAGGTGAATTATTAGTGCCATCGGTCGTTATTCTCTTCCAGTTCAACGAGTTTGTTGGAAACACGCTTTTCAAGTTTGCAGCGCGCATTCCAATAAATTTTATCCTTTGCTTTTTCTTTTCGGCGCGTTTTTCCCCATGCGCTCGTCTCTGTCATATTGGATGGCTTTAATTAAATTCTTGTCCTTGCGTTTCTTTTGTCTTAATGTTCATCTGTGCTATTTTTTCTCTGCACCCTTAATTTGCATTGATTGATTTGGACAAAAAGTCTTGCACTTTCTTCAGCGCCAATTTTTTTCTGATCGAATGACCTGAATCGATGGACAAAACAAAAAATTCAAAGTAAAAATCGACTTCGGGCTGTTGCTTAATTCAATAAAAGTTGAAATATAAACTTTTTTTCTTCCATCCGATTTGTCATTTGCATTGATTTTGATGCAATCAAGCGGTACTTTCGATATTTCCCGACATCTTACTACAGTAATATACTAAAATAGGCCAACTCGGGATTAAAGGAAACCGAATACACTTTCTGGAAGCCAAAATGAAATTGAAAATCTCTTCCGTTTTTTTTTAAAAGATAAATTGAATGTTAGTACTTTTAGTTCATTTTCTTAATCGAATTTATGTTTTACTTTGATCAAATAAGTTTTTCGTTTACTATTTCATCCCTGCTCTTCATCGATCATTTCACGGAAAGTTTTAATTACATACTTTTGAGATTCAAAAGTTTATTGCCTACCCGTGTGAAAAATTTGTGACTGACTAGCCAGCCGTCTAATTTCGGACTTTTTGGCTGACTATCAGTAACTAAAAGTGATTATCTCGAACAAAACATTCGACTGTAGTCAACTTCAGTTATAGTCATCTAGTAGCCAAAAAGTCCGAAATTAGACGGCTGGCTGAAAGAATAACTAAAAGTGATTGTTTCTATACAACATTCTTGAATTCAATCAACTTAGCCAATTTTAGTTATTTGCAGCTACATACAACTGAATGACTGTCAGTCACTTTATTTGCACACGGGTACATTCTGTAAATGCAATCAAGTTTCTTTTTTCTTCCGGTGTTATTTCATTTTTGACTATGAAATAACAAAGCCATTACATTGTACATTGCCGTCGACTTTTTGGCTGTACAGCTAGTTGTTGTAGAAGTCGTTTGTGTCAGTTCACTAGTTAAGCTTTTTAAAAAAAATATGAAAGAAAATGTGTTACTACCATTTTGAGCTATTTGAAGGTGCTTTTTAGTGTTGAATGTTTTGGGGCGCAAATTTGTAGAACTCTTGAACCCCATGCCTGAGGCGATATTTATAATTTTGGACGCACTTCATTTTAGAATATCCATTGATGAATTACCATCCCTATGTAAACCCATACACAGTTTCTTATAATACTGCTTCTTCTTCTTCACACTGTCGTACACAATGGGCACGACCATATTGAAAATGTATACAGTGTATTGAGTGCCATTTGTGAACATTATAACCAATATGGCGACTTACATGTATAGATGTGTTAGTTAAGAAGAAGAAGCAGTCACACTGCACCGTTCGCATACGGACGTGAATTCCGGGAATTCTGGGAACTCGTGCATTTTTATCGCTGTATCTGACAAGTTAGGAAATCATGTGTAAGGTTCTTCTTTACAAAAGAGATTCATTTTTTTTTTGAAATCGCTTTGTTGTCTATGCAATGCTTCTGTTAATTGAAATTTTGATAAGTAGGAATAAAACGTTGTTCACAAGTATGAAGACCAGAACTGCAATCTCTGTATGCATTTCAAATAGTTTTAACGTTTCCCGTCGGAAACACAATTCAAGAGATGTGATGTTTAAAAGACCTACTTTATTGTGCTGCATCAATTGTGCATAATCAAACTACGGTCAAAGAAATTGTTTGAAACTTTAAAATGGTTTCGCTTGTCAAGATGCATGTCAAATGCAGCGGCGAGTAAAATAGCTTAGAAAACTGATAGCGTGCAGTGCTTTGATATTTCAGAGAGGATATCATAAATGCACAAAAAGATATGTTTTGAATTATTTGAAGCGCCGGTATTAATTCGCTTGATTGGTCTCGTAATTCTCGGTAAGGGAGGTGGCTACAATATGACGAGACAATTTCAACACCGAACCAATTCAATTTGAAGTCGATGAATATTCGCTGAACAAAAGATAGGGAATTCGGTCCATTGACCATTGTTATGAAATTATATTGATGAGCACAAGCGTACATAAATATTCTATATATTTAGTTTCCAATCCATTAAATCCGCTTGTGTATAAGTGCCGATAACGACGGTGGGTTGAAATAATTTGATTAAAACAAGAATTCCATTTGGCTTCAATAAAGGCAAATCCAAATTCTTCTGCGTAATCAATATTCATTCCTTGTTGTGGTTGCTTTTTGCTTTGTGCTCAATGCGAAATATAACATCGAAACTATTGGTTCAATCGAAAAAACTATTATGTTAAATGGCAAAAGTGGTAATTCAATCGCAAAAAAAGTTGATTACCAAAGTAATTATTCAAAAACAACTTCAATGATTATGTAGAAAGCCGAGACAGAATGTCATTACGGTAAAATCATTCATTAAAAAGATAACAAATTGCTGGCAGTAATAATTCTAATTTATTTAGAAGCAAAATATGCAGACAAAATGTCAAATTTGAGCTTAATGGAATCAAAAATACTTGTAATAACGGTGTTCATATGCATCATTTCGTAGATTGTTCAGCTGTTCGTGCGGGTTGATGACTTGAATGGGCCGCATAATCATGTACATAAAGATAATTTGACTCGTTACCCCAGCAAAAGTGAATTAAACGGAATGGAATTTGAAAATCGAGACAAACGATCCGCAAACACGATGTACGACAAGTACAAACAAGAGATGAATAAACAAGATCTGAAAATTGTGTATGAAATTGTAATGATGTCAACCGCATGATTCAATTATGGTGAGTGGAATGGAGAAAAAAAGAACAAACATGGGGAAAAAAGAAAGTTTGCATTTGCAAGAAACAGAAAAAATGCGAGTGATACTGTAATCGAAAACCAAGTTGGATGGTCCAAATGAATTTGATGATGAGATCAAAAGCATGCGACGCGCAACCAGAGATATTCGAAATATGCACATGGTAAAAATTGAATCATCTCAACTGAATATAAGTCAGTGCATGCACCCTGATATTTGAAACTCGTAAGAAGTATGCAAGTATGCTTATGAAGAAAAAAAAAATTCGACGAATGATTTCGTGCGAAATCAAGCAAAATATGGGGGAAAAAAGTAAACAAAAAGCGAATATGTATCATATTGAATTTTGTTAGTAGCAGCGACTTTATATATGTAAGAAAAAAGCAGAAACTGAGCAAACACAGACAAACTCACATGCATCACTGAAAACGTTGTGTGAACAACGCAACCATTCAAGGGAAAATATTTTCTCCTACTCGGCTTGTTCGTCTGCTGCGTTAACAGAGGATCCATTGATTTGATAAATATTTGATACTCTCATTTTTCGCTTACCATCTTTTTTTTCTCGTTGGTTCACTTTTTGTCTGCGATTCATATCGTTTATTACGTGCACCTCTACTCCTCTCTCTTCCACTTTTTCTGGCATGATTATGATTGTTATATCTTCTCTGGGGGCGCTCTTCGTTCCCAGTCGCTGATATCGTCGAATTTTCTCATTCATTTATTGCACAAGACAAGGTTCGCTCATGGATACCATGTCTTTCGATTGTGGCCCTCTTCATTTTTTAATAATCATATACATTTTTAACCAGACATACAATAAATTTCCATATTCTGCATTTTATTTTCATCATCAGTTATTTTTTTTTTTGCTTCGTTACCATTCGCTATGTTTATCGACGTAATATTATTCGCTCGTTTTCTTGTTTCTTTTTTGGCAATGAATCAGGTTCGGTTTACCGAAAACAAACACAACAACCATTCAACACTGAATCAATGACATGGTATAAAACATTTTTCGATGCCACCAACAAATCGAACATGACAACAAACACATAAGAAATTCAACCACTGAATCAAACCGGCTCAAATGATTACCACATCCCGATCGAATTACTGCTTTCGGTGTGCTAAGGTAATAACAGACAAAATCATATGAACTTCTTGAACCGGTCCCAACTATGCAAAGAGTAGTTAAAATGCCACTTGTTTAATGTGATACACGCCCTTAAAAATTTTGATTCAACAACTAGCCTTCTCAGAACTGAATAATATGAATCAATCACAACAACCTCCACAGTCACTTGCCACCGCTACTAACACCTCGAAACAATACTCACGAGAAATTCTCACCATTCGAACACAATGGTCATTGAAACCACTTTGGAATTAGGATTTGGTTTAAAGGTGAAACGAATAATCACTGCAACACACAGGCAACACATCGTCTTACGCTCGGTTGGCAACGAGAAGGATGGCGCTCGAATGACAGAACCGCACTTATTTTGCTTTTGACTTATTTATTCA